CAAATAATAAAGGCCATAACATACACACACATATATGTAGGTTTTTCTTGCAAAATGAAAGGTAATTTGTGATTAGGATGAGTATATTCAATCTTAATTCCAACTTTAATTAATTGATTATTTTAAAAAACAAAGCTCAAACAATTTGAAGTTAATTTACATAAAACATCATCAAGGTTATTTCTGCCCTTTTATATATTATGGCCAACTCAAAGAATACATAATGTTGCATTATACATGAAAATCTGGAAGATGTTTTATTAATATTTTGCCTTCTATTTTCTTACAAAAAAATTTACCTGCGAACTTTTCGAAATCACATTACCTCAAGTAAAAATATTTTAGTTTGTGCACCAGAATTTTTTGATTTTCTTATTTCTTGCCTTTTGGAAATTTTTAAACTTAGTTTTAAATAATGACATCATGATGAATCCTTGTGATAGTAGTGAAAAGAAAACCAATAATTATCACAAGGTGTGAGGTTAAAAAAAATTTTTTATTTAACTATTTAGGATATAAAAAAACAGAAAAATAAATAAATATAATATAAATATAATAAATAAATATAATAAATATAAATGATTAATTATTATTATTATTATTATTATTATTACTATCATTATTCAAAATATCCAAGAGATTTTTACTAAGAAAATTTATATTTTGAATTGCATCATTAATACCTCTAACTATAACACCAAAATCATTCAAACCCTTTGAAAGATCATTATTAATATCATTTAACTTTAGAATCACGAGATTAATTAATGCATTGTTGTTGTTGTTGTTGTTGTTGTTGTTGGAAAGTCTTGAATTAAATTGTTGAAGAAGATTTGTAAGTTCTGTTGGTTGTGTAACCTGAGGAAATGGTCCAAAAATTAAAGGTTCTCTAAATAAAGGTTGCAATTGTGTTCCGTGTGAAATTTGAGATTGTGCTTGAAGTAAAAGCGATTCATGAGGATTATTAATAACATTTAAATTGCCAATTTGAGAATTTACATCAAAAGTGCCATGTGTGTCATAAATGTTACTATTGCTATCACTACTAATGATATTGTTTCCATTGTCATTACTACTAATAATATTATAACTATTAACGTTACTACCAATAATATTATTATTAGAAGAAAATGGAGAATTTGTTTGTGGATAGTTTGAGGGAAAAAATTTTTTTCTTTGATCACTCATTTTGTATTGATAAAAAAGATTTAAAAATAAAATAAAAATTTTTAGAATCCAAACAATTTTTTGTAGGATTTATATATTTATTTTTTTTTTGTTCGCGCTTGTTTATAAAATAGAATGTGATATTAGGAAAATATAATATAATTGTTATTCATTAAATGAAAACCGATCTTAGGAGTCTGTCTTCCTTTGACCAAATTTGGTCTTTTTATTAATCTGTTAATCCATAATAAAAGAAATTTTATTATTATTATCATATGATCTAAAATTACACGTAATGAATATTTTTAAAGTAGTTTTTCAAAGAATTGAAAAACCATATTGTTCAGAATATGGATATTTTCAAAATGTAAAGTATAACTATTAAAATAGGATTTATGATTATGATTTCCTTAATACATTGATAAGACATTTGAAAAAATCCTTCCGATCTCAGTAATAAATACTATTCATAAAAGCTACTATCACATTTTTTAAATATATTAAATGCACGTTTTGAATAAATACAAATTAATTTTTTAACACTCTTAATGGTTGGATACCTGTAAAAATATACATTGTTAATCATTCAATTGTTAGAAAAAAAATTTTTTAAAATTAATTATTTAATGTGGGGTAATGCATTCATTATGCGAGAATACGAATTTGGTTATTATTATTATATGTACATTAATAGGTAAATTTCAACAAAGAAAATTTATAACCGTGAAATTTTTGTCGTCATTTAACCTAACCAATGTAGAGACCTCATATTTTATACGGCAACAAACATTTCGCAAATTATGCGCTATATTTTTTATTGATATTTTATAATATAATCTCTTTAAAAAAATAATATTTAAAACGTTAATTGACGATCCGCAAATAAACGAGAGAATTGTCGATCAATTTACAAAATGAGGAAAATTTAAATATTGATTTTGAAAAAAAAACAAATAATGGGAAGATAAATATACTCGATTTCTTATAAATATAGTCTTGAATCATAAATTATTTGGAAAAAAATACGGACAGTATTTTATACAATCCTTCATTCTCAATCAACAAAATTATGACTAAACAATTGGACCAAAATAATATTGAAATAGACTCTCATCCAATCCATCAACATGATAATGACGACGACAGTGACGATGGTGATGATGATGACAATGATGACAATGACAATGACGAAGACGAAGACGATGACAATGACAATGACAATCACAATGATAATGACAATGATGATGACGATGACGATGATGATGATGACGACGATAGGTTTGATCCTAGAGCTAAAATAAATCTTATACATTATCATAATGGTAATAGGGAACCAATAAATCCAAACTCTTCAAATGGAAATACAACTGATACTTACAAATTTTATGACACATTCACAAATCAGCAGTTTGATTTCAACTTGAAATTTAATTAAGATAAGAATATAAGAACATCATATGAAAGCCACTATATAAGAAAAGCATATATCTTGAGAAACACCTCCATCTAAGAACAAAATTTTATAAGAATATTCTTAAAAAGGTTACTTATTAGTGTAGTAATTTACAAAATTTTGTATAATTAAAATTATGTGACATTACCTCATCGTAAAAAAATAAAAAATAAAAATAAAAAAACATAGATTGGATTTTTTATTATTATCATATGATATAAAATTAAAATTACACGTAATATATTTTTTTAAAGTAATTTTTCAAAGAACTACGATTAGAGGAATTAATAAAAAATGAACACCATTTCGGCAGTGTTTATATTCAAGATTTATATTATATTGGTCACGTAACAAAAGTGTATACACACTAATACTAATGTTTTTCATTCTTTGATTGGTTGGTTTTTTTTATTTCAAGAATTTTCCTTTAGAATCATTTTAAAATAACCTATTTGTAATAAATAAACAATGAAATTGAAAACCAAAATATTGTATTTGATGTATTTCCAAATATATTAATGATAACATTAATTTTTTCCTTAATGGGATAAATGAATTTGTAGATTGTTAATTATTCAATTGTTCAAAAAAAAAAAAAAAATTTTTTTCAATGTGTGGGGTAAAAATAAAGTTATTATTACTCCGAGGCAATCACATAAACATATTGTTAGGGTTTAAATTATGTAATACTTCAAAATTGAATATAAAAAAGTAATTTTATTATATAGTTTATTTCAAGTTTGTAATTGGTTGCCACAAAAGTACTTTCAATTATAGGTGATTTATTAAATCAAAAATCGAATTTTAAAAATTGTCAACAAATAAAATGGGTAATACATTCATGGCAAATACAATGAATCATTTTACTTATTTATTTATTTTAAAACTAACCATCGATCGAAATTTCGCACAATAGTTTAAACAATGGTTATTCATTGAATTATTTAAACATTATTGTGAATCATCTTTTCATCCACCGCCTGCGCATCATTTTTTGAATATTTTTTACATGCTTAAAATTTGAATAATGTTAATTGAAAAACAACAATTATTGCAAAGAGAAAAATTGTTGGTGATAATAAAA